AAAGATGAATGCGGCCAAGTACTGGGATATCCTGGACGAAAACCTTCTCTAGAGTGCTCAGGACCTCAGACTGGGTCGAAGGTTTACCTTCCAACAAGCCAATGACCCTAAGCACACAGCTAAAATAATGAAGGAGTGGCTTCACAACAACTCTGTGACTGTTCTTGAATGGCCCAGCCAGAGCCCTGACTTAAACCCAATTGAGCATCTCTGGAGAGACCTAAAAATGGCTGTCCACCAACGTTTACCATCCAACCTGACAGAACTGGAGAGGATCTGCAAGGAGGAATGGCAGAGGATCCCCAAATCCAGGTGTGAAAAACTTGTTGCATCTTTCCCACAAAGACTCATGGCTGTATTAGATCAAAAGGGTGCTTCTACTAAATACTGAGCAAAGGGTCTGAATACTTAGGACCATGTGATATTTCAGTTTTTCTTTTTTAATAAATCTTCAAAAATGTCAACAATTCTGTGTTTTTCTGTCAATATGGGGTGCTGTGTGTACATTAATGAGGAAAAAAAATTTACTTAAATGATTTTAGCAAATGGCTGCAATATAACAAAGAGTGAAAAATTTAAGTGGGTCTGAATACTTTCCGTACCCACTGTATATGCTGCTGACATTGCCTGATTTATTCAGAATTATAAAAAATCCTGACGGAGTTGACACAAAAGTGAGGACACAAATTAGTGTTTAGGTGAGGACCAGATTATCCCATAATTTTTTATGGGAACTATAATTCAAGATTTACTTTTTTGTATTGTTTGATATATTACAGATCTCCGCCTTTCAATATAAATATATTTTTGAATTTGCTGCTCTTTGTTTGGCAGTTTTACATTGTGACCTCATGCTGAGGACAGGTAAAATAACATGTATTTAAAAAAATACTACATATCACATATTACCTGGACCAAAGAAATGATTAAAAAAATAAAAACAATGAATGCCCTGAGAATACAGATTTCCTTTAGATATCTAACCCTAACCCTAACCCAGTCTTTTCAAAGTATTTTTATTTTGACCATTTTTTTCAAAAGATTACGGAAGTTCTAAGCAGCCATGCAATATATATTTTTTCCTTCTTATTTTCTCGTTATCTCGACATAACGAGAGTTGTTTTCTCATTATAACGACTTAATTTTCTCATTATCTCGACATAACGAGAGTTGCTTTCTCGTTATAACGACTTAATTTTCTTGTGATCTCGACATAACGAGAGTTGTTTTCTTGTTATAACGACTTCATTTTCTCATGATCTCGACATAACGGGAGTGGTTTTCTCATTATAATGACTTAATTTTCTCGTTATCTCGACATAACGAGAGTTGCTTTCTCGTTATAACGACTTAATTTTCTCGTGATCTCGACATAACGAGAGTTGCTTTCTCGTTATAACGACTTAATTTTCTCGTGATCTCGACATAACGAGAGTTGCTTTCTCGTAATAACGACTTAATTTTCTCGTGATCTCGACATAACGGGAGTTATTTTCTCGTTATAATGCCTTAATTTTCTCATTATCTCGACATAACGAGAGTTGCTTTCTCGTTATAATGACTTAATTTTCTCGCGATCTCGACATAACGAGAGTTGTTTTCTCGTTATAACGACTTAATTTTCTCGTTATCTCGACATGACGAGAGTTGTTTTCTCGTTAATTTTCTCGTGATCTCGACATAACAAAAGTTGTTCTCCAAGTTACAAAACTGCGCCAACAGGTGGCACTATTGACCTGAATATAACTGATGGGGTGTTGTAGGCTATACATATCCACTTTACTGTACACGTTTGGGATAGAATAGGACCTTCCTCGTAATCGCTATAATTTGTGTAGTATTGTTCATTACTGACAATTAATTCATTCATAAATGTTAAATGCTTGAATCAATATGACTATTTTGTGTATTAAGTTCTTGCTAGATGCATGAGTTTCACCAACGCGTTCTGTGTCATAAAATAATAACTGCTTATTAAAACCAAGGTTGACGTCACTGTATTCTGTTTGCACCTATATCTTTATTTGTGCTTCTTTGAGGTACATTATTGTTAGTTAATAAGCGGGGGTGTTCTGTTTATCTACAGTAGGACAGGCTTCAACGACGTAGGCTATTTGTAATGTGCCTCTTTTCCTTATTATTAATCTTTATTGTTAATCATTAAATGTATATTGATAAGAAATGTGATTTATATGTAAAGTGTATAGGCTAATTTAATTCAGTGATGTTCTACAGTGTTGTAATCTTTTGTGTTTTCTACATTTCTTTGTGGAAACCACACAAACATACACACACATATACACAGGCCTACACATGAATGCTCTTTTCAAACAGAAGCTTGTAACGCACATGATATCAGTCACAGCATAAAATGACTACTAAAAATGACAAATTATATATAATATTTATATAATATAATTTATAATCCAAGCAGCTCTAAAATATTTTAGAATAGTTCTGGATCATGAAGGCGCTC